TGCCTAAGAAAATTATATTTTAAAATGTTCTTTGGATTTGATTTAAATATTTGAAGCAATATAGTTCATGTTACCTTATAGTATGGCTGGTATGGTGTGGGGGCTCCACTCTAGAAGTTGGTGTCTCACATCTTGATGAGAGTCAAGTAAGGAAAGTTTTGAGGTTTGTGTTGGTGTGTGTTTGGTTTGTGTTATTGGTCTTCCCCTTCACAAGCCGGTGTCATCTGGCTGGAGTTGCTTGCCCATTTTAGCCAGGGACCCAAGGGCAGAGGGAATACTTGATTTATCGTAGTCAACAGCATTTGATGGGTGTGTCTTTAAAATTTAATATGGCCCTTGGGCCAAATTAATTAATGTTAGCATTAACATTCTTTAAGTGGTACAGCAGTTTGTCTATTTGCTATACTGAATTAGATGGAGTTGCTATGATACTGAACACTGCCATAGTTGTGTCAAATGCCATCATGGTTACCCATTATTAAAGGTGTTTGGAGGAACTTTCAGATTAATTCAGGTTTGGAAGCAGGAGGGACATCCACTTCCTAAACCAGATGTCTCTGGAAGCTCTATAAACTCTATCAGGAAGCTCTATAAACTCTATCAGCATAAAGAAATTAAGTTAATTGTAGAACAGAGTCCAGGTCTTTTTTTCATAGGGTCACTATGAGTCCTATTCGACCTGGTGACACTTAAACATGACTGATACTGGTGTTATATTTTGAAGGAACATTCTTCCACTTTGTACATCACTCTGCCAAATTTGCTGTACTGAGGTAATCTGGGTTTGCTGTGACTATGAGCCTTGTGCCACTGGGATATGAAATGCCATAATGGTTTCCCAGTGTGGACAGTATTTGGTCAAGTTCCCAGTTGTAAAACAGGTTTGAAAGCAGGAGGATCATCCACTTCCTAAACCATATGCCTATGGAAACTCTATGAATTAGGTCTTTTATTCATGGAGTCACTATGAGTCATGCTCAACTTATGGCATTCAACAACAACAACAACAACAGTATATAGTATGCTTTCATTTTATGGAATGTACAGAACAAATAAAAAGTAAAATAGTAACAGAAATAAGCATTGAGTTGAATGAGAGTGCTAGTTTTAAGATGGCATAAACCTATCACAAAGCATTTCCATTTAACAACTCTAACAACATAGTAACTGGAAAACCAAGGAGAATAAGGTTTTTTTCCAGAGCTTTGATGAAAGACTTCGTTCGGTGAAGAGTTGAAGTTAATCTATCCGTTGCCTCATTATAGTGACATACTATTAGGAAACATTTGCTTTTTTATATTAGGTATTGAGAGTGAAAATGAGCAGCAAATTACCTATTGGTCCTTGACAAGTTCCTGTATCTTTACTTTGTTACTGATGCTTAAGTCATTTTCTGTATCTTTATTAAAAGTGACATGTCAATGATTAATACTGCTTGAAGTAGAAAACATGATACTCAAAATGTTATTGACCTGTATTTTTTCTCTCCTTTTTTTAATTGAGATTTTAATGGAAGTTTATCAAGAACTTGGATTTCCGTTCATTCATTGTTGCACGTTTTTCTCCTGGCTCCCCTCCCCCCTAGATTACTATTTACTTTGGAAAAAAATTTTTTTCACTGTTATACATCCACCACCACCACTTTACTATGCAGCTCTTATTCTGGACTCTTGTCATGCCAATAATACTTAATTATATATTCCTTTTATACAGTTCTCTCCCTCATGTACATTACTTATCCCTATTTTCTTAGTTCTCCCCCAAAAAATCCATGTCAGTCCTGTTTTATAACAGTGGCATTTTGCAGTATTTGCCTTTTTGTGACTAAGATATTTTATGCAGAATAATGTCCTTCATGGTCATCCATTTTGTATAAAAACTTCTTGGGAGTGCATATAACTAAACACAAAGGATCTCCTCAAAGAAAATTACAAAACATTGCTACAAGAAACAGAAAGAGACCCAGAGAAATGGAAGAATTTTTCTTACTCATGGATAGGAAGACTCAATATTGTGAAATGGCAATCCTACCAAAGGCAATCTACACATTCAATGTAATCCCAATACAAATACCAATACCATTCTACTACGAGATGGAAAAGGAAATCTCCATTTTCATGAAAAGAGACCCCAAATAAGCAAAGCACTCCTTAAGAAGAGAAACAAGTTAGGAGGCATCTCACTCCCTGATTTCAAATCCTACTACACTACAGTGGTGGTCAAGACAGTGTAGTACTGTTACAATGACAGACACATAGATCAATAGAATAGAATTGAGAACCTAGAAATCAGCCCATATACCTACAGTCAACTGATTTTTTACAAGGACATGAAATCAGTTAAGTGGGGAAATGACAGCCTTTTTTTTTTTTTTATTATTAATTTCAATGAATACTTACAGAGTTTTTGGATTTCCATTCATTCATTGTTGCACTTTTATCCCCACCCACCGTACCCCCACCTCCAGTTCGCTCTTCTCTTTGAAAAGTAAAATTCCTTCATTGGTATACAAACCCCCCCCATACCCCCCACCCCCACTCTGAGTATACTCCACTTTGTAACCTTCATTTCAGACTCTTATGCTAATCATAATGCCCTATAATATACTGCTTTTAAACTGTTCTATCCCTCATCTGTTTCAATGCAGTATACATAATTCATCTAGTTTTTCTCATTCTTACCCCAACCCTAATGCTAGTCCTGTTCTACAGTAGTGGCACTATGCAGTGTTTGTCCTTTTTGATGGAGACATTTCACTCAGCATAATGTTCTCCAGAGTCACCCATTTTGAGTAATATTGCATGAGTTCTTTGTTTTTCATGCAGCATAGTATTCCATTGTGTGAATATACCAGAGCTTCTCTATCCATTCATTTGTTGATGGGCACTTAGGTTGTTTCCAAATCCTTGCTATTGTGTACAAAGCTGCGATAAACATGGGTGTGCATATATCTGCTTGTATGGTGGTTATGGTCTCTTTAGGGTATATTCCCAGCAGTGGAATTGCTGGGTCAAATGGTATCTCTGTTTGCAACTTTTTTGAGAAAGCACCACACTGCTTTCCACAGTGGTTGCACCATTTTACACTTCCACCAACAGTGGATAAGGGCTCCACTCTCTCCATAACCTCACCAAAATTTGTTGCTCACTGTTCTGTTAAATTTTACTAGTCTTACTAGGGTGCAATGATATCTCACAATTTTCTTAAATGACAGCCTTTTAAACAAATGATGTTGGCAAAATTGGAAAACCATCTGCAGAAAACTCAAACAAGACCCACACCTCACACTACACACAAAACCCAACTCAAAGTGGATCAAGGACATAGGACTAAAATCAAGGACTATAAACTTCATTAGAGTAAAGCTTGAAAGAACCCTAGAAGCACTAATCCACAAAATAAATAGTCTTCCAAGCATCCTGAAAAATCTACAACCAGGAGAGGATAAAATAGATGAATGGGACCTTCTAAGAATCAAATTCCTATGCACATCCAAAAACTTCTTCAACAGGGTGAAAAGGGATGCCACAGACAGGTAAAAAATATATTTGGTTATGACATGCCTGATAAGGGACTTATATCTAGAATTTATAGACTGCTTGAGCACCACAACAAGATAAAGGTAAACAATCCATTTGAAAAATGGGCACAGGTATGAACACACACTTCACCAAAGAAGACATTCAGATAGCAAACAAACACATGAAGAAATGTTCTAAATCCCTAGCTCTAAAAGAGATGAAAACAAAAACAACTATGAGATATCATTTCACCCCCAATAAGAATAGCAAAATTCAATACAGCAGCAAATAACAAATGCTGGCAAGATGGTGGAGAAACTGGAACCTTTATTCACTATTGGTGGGAGTGTAAAATGATGCAACAACTCTGGAAGGCAATGTGGTACTTTCTCAATAATTTGGAAATAGAAATCCTATTTGACCCAGCCATCCCACTACTGGGAGTGTACCCTAAAGATATCCTAACTGCAACCCAAGCGATATATGCACACCCATGTTAATTATTGCTTTGTTCACAATAGCAAAGAGTTAGAAACTACCCAAGTACCCATCAACAGACGAATGGATAGAGAAGCTGTGGTATATTCACACAATGGAATTATATGCAGCACTGAAAGACCTGTATTTTCTTTTTAATTACAGCTCTTAGCTAGCAATTGAAGCTATTGAATGATGCTTGCTATATCTATGGAAAGACTCAATTTTATTCTTTGGTCATTGACACTTGAATTTTTGTTAAAATTCTGTGTAAGAAAAGGCAATCTACAAAGTCGGTAATCAAAGAACACATGAGGGGGGAAACACATGCAAAAACATTATGCTCAGCAGAATCAAATAGGTAATGATGGGAGAAATCTTAATATTTTCTAAATAAATCTTGTTTCTCTTGATAATACTTCAAAATTCTATTTTTTGAAAATTTTCATGCTCAAGAGCATACATTTGACCTTTTTATTCTAATTTCTAAAAGTAAATTTTAAAGTCCACTGTATGTAAATAACTAATTGCAAAGAAATTGCTTTTAAAACATCCATGTTCTTATAACTAGATTTTGTATTGCAGCTGTCAAAAAGTAGGCGTGATTACAAGTTTTGTCATTAGGTGCCACCAAGTAGACTTTGACTTAGAGCAACTCTATGAACCTCATCTTTCTCTTGGAATTTAAAGTTATAGGAAAGGTATTCTAATCTAAATTTTTACTTTATTTAAATGGCAGTAGGTGTCCAAAAGGAACATTTGAAAACCGTGATAGTTTTATTATACTCAGAAATAAACCTGACTGAAGTTTAAATATATTGCAAAGGAAATGAAAATTTTCTTCTTTTAAAGCCACCCCACTGAGAGAAATTGACAGTTGAAAAAACAGTCTCCTCTTGTTGACTTTTATAACCTCAGCAATCATTGGAGATTTCGTATGTGATGAACTTGACTCACAAGCAGTAGGTTTGGTTTGGTTTGTGGTAAAATAGTTAATCTTACCAATAAAGATGATGAGCAACCTGGATGCTTTGCAATGAGCGATGTAGTAGGAGTTGCACCAAGGAACTTTCAAGGTTCCATTCAAACTTGATGGACTGAAATAACAGGAAAAAAATATTTCATTTAAAAATAATGCATCACTTATTTAAAAAAAAAAACATTGTGATAGTATAGTTAACAGAATAGTTGTCAATCCAATATTTTTAGGATTCAATAAGGGTAATTAAACTAATAACGTACAAGTATTAGCAGCATCCACTGTCGTATTTTCCAACCACGAAAGCAGAAATTGAACATAAACAAAATAAATATTTTTCTGTCTTTCTACAGCTGGTAACCTAAGAGAGACACATTCTCCTGTGTTATGCTAATCGTCTGCATAATGCAGGTTGTTGATGAGTCTTTTTTTTGATACTGAAGCCACATTCCTCATCATAGATTTCATCTTCACAGATTATTTGGTCAGCATACAAATTGAATAGATATGGAGAAAGGACACATCCCTGATGCACATCCTTTAGATTTAAAATCATGTAGTACTCCCTTGTTTCATTTGGAAAACAGTTTCTTGATCTAGGTATAGATTTTGCATGAGCATAATTAATTTTCTGGGATTACCTTTCTTGTCAATGTTAGCCACAGTTTGTTATAATCCACACAGTCAAATACCTTTGTATAGTCAATAAAACACGAATAGACACTATTTTAGTATTCTCTGCTTTCAGCCTGGATCCATCTAACATCATCAATGATATCTCTGGTG